GAGGAATGGGAAGGGAGAGTGAAAGGCAGAGAGAGAGAGAAGAGAGAGAGAGAGAGAGAGAGAGAGAGCGGACAGAGACAGAGGGAAAGAAGAGAGGAAGAGAGAAAGAGAGAGAGAGAGAGAGAGCGAGAGAGATGGGAAGAGGGGACCGAGAGATGAGAGGGAGGAGGGAGGAGACGAGGAGGGAGAGAATGTGACGAAGGAGCGAGAGAGAGGAGAGAGGGGGGGGAAAGAGAGAGAGCGAGGGGGGGGGGGGGGGGCGGGGGGGGGGGGGGGGGGGGGGGGGGGGGGGGGGGGGGGGGGTGTGGGGGGGGGGGGGGGGGGGGGGGGGGGGGGGGGGGGGGCGGGGGGGGGGGGGGGGGGGGGGGGGGGGGGGGGGGGGGGGGGGGGGGGGGGGGGGGGGGGGGGCGAAGAGAGAGAGCAGAGAGAGAGTTGAGAGATGAGAGAGAGAGAAAGAGGGAGAGAGGAAGATGAGAGAAAGAGAGAGAGATAGAGAAAAGAGAGATAGAGAGACAGAGAGAACGGAGAAAAAGAGAGTCGATGAGCGAGGAGAGAGAGAGAGAGAAGAGAGGGAGATATATATATATATTATATATAATAGAGAGGAGGAGAGAGAGAGAGAGAGAGGAGAGATAGAGAGAGAGAAAGAGAAGAGAGAGAGAGGAACGAGCGATAGAGGAGAGAGAGAGTGAGATTAGAGAAGAGAGAGAGAGAGAGAGAGAGAGAGAGGAGAAGAGATAGAGAGAGATTAGAGAGAGGAAAGGAGAGAGAAGAGAGACAGAGACGAGACGAGAGAGAGAGAGACGAGAAGAAGAAGAGAGATACGTTATCTCTGCCGCTCGCGAGACAAAGACCCGCGCCGTCCGACACGCAGCCGTGAGTATTAACGCCATTATATATCGACTGACGGGGCCGTGCGTGAACGGCCGCCGCCCGCAGCGGAGAAACGCTTCAAGCTACGGTCCCGCTCCAACACGTTTGCCGTTTGAAATTTATGTTTCCGAAATTAAAAATCGACGTCGTGGCCGGCGTTCGCGGCGGCGGTTTCAGCGACGTCGAGCGAGGAATTATGCGTTTGACTTCTTTTGCTCGAATGTTATAACTAGGTGTTGGAGTCGTTCGGGTTTGGTCCGCGGTCAGGGGGGAGGCGGGTTGGATGACGATATTTCGAAGGTATTATGGCATATATATATTTCCTCCCCCACGGTGGTTGCGTCAGTGCTATCCATGGCCCACAGGTCCACGTTAAGATTTTCTCTATTAATGTGATATAGATTATATATATGTGTGTGTGTATATATGTATGTATATATGATATCTATAATAAGTATATATAATTAAAACTTGGCTCTTTATATGTTTGATATAGTTTAAGCATACTATTTTACATTATTATTTAATGAATTTACAACAACACCGGTTTATACACACACGCGCGCGCACGCCTGACGCACGCACACACACACACACACACACACACACACCACACACACACACATCACACACACACACACACACACACACACACACAACACACACACACACGAACAGCGCACACACACACACGCCCGCACGCACGCACGCCACACACACCACACACACCACACACACACACACACACACACACACACAACACACAATATATATATATAATATATTATATATAATAAATATATCTGAACCAGACTTGCAGGTACGCGCGTTACACTTGAAGCTGTCGGGAGGAAAAATCTTTAATCGTTTGATTGCCCTAGCAAGACACGATCCGTTAATTTATCATAGCCTTCTTAAGCATCAAAACATATTACATATATATATAATAATATATATATATATATATATATAGTTCACAGGAGCGTTGAAGTATTTCAGATATGCACTTGACGGAATGGGACGTGAGCCATGTATACGAGAAAACACGCAGCCGGAAACGATGGCGAACACGCTTGCATTATTTGCAATTAGGCGTGTTAATTAATTTTTAGATGCGATGGAAGCTTCATGCATAAACGATCCTTAAGTGGCAACTTTACAGTAATCCACATACTTAATTATATATATATATATAAGGATATATATATATATATATATAGTATACATAACATGATGCATGCGTATAAGATAAAAGCACGATAAATGACTCAGTATCCGGAAGTATAAGTAAGACAAGTATATATATATATATATATATATATATACCATTTGCGAAGGCTTCTTTAATACAGGATTATTCACACACAGGAGTATAACCGCGATGCGTGAGATGTGCCAGACAAGCACAGAGAAGATCAGGCAGTAACGTAAACAGAAGGGGGATCGGCTATTTGCGGGACAGGATTAGACCATTATGATTATCTGGTCACCGGAGAATACTGGGTAAATTTTCCGTGAATCGGGGGGGGGGGGGTGGAAGCCAACTGGGACACGGGAAATCTGAAATTGCAATTTTAAATTAACCGGGAACTGGGACGTGGCTTTTCTCTTTACCGGGGAAACAGGGAACGCCCCCCCCCCCTTTGCCCTTCTCAACAGATGTTGTGGAGCATATATATGGTAGCTATAGCGTAGTTTGTGCTGTGTGTGTTGCAGCGCGTCCTTCAGCGTGGAGGGAAGCTTGTCAAGGAGCCATGGGTGGAGAGCGACGAGCATGGAAGCATCAAGATGGCCGTTGTGCAGACGGTAAGTCACCAATAGTCTCCTTTCCCCCCCCCCACACACACACACACACACACACACACACACACACACACACACACACCACACACCACACACACCATTCCTGTAACGTCAATTCCCATTAGTTACGTCAAGCCATTATTAGGCTACTCTAACAGATTTGATATTGCATGGTAAAGGTTCATATACCACCTTTACTATATATATTTATTTATATATTTATTTGATTTATTTATATACACGTACGTTAATGAATGGAACAGATATAATAGGGATGCACATATACATATATAGACGGGATAATATTCATGTATATTGTGCATGCATGCATTCGCTGGGTCCATCCTTTGTCGCGGTGTAGTGGCTTGCGAGCCTCAATAACCCGGAGAACTATGCCAAAGGGAGCATAAGCTCCTGGCAGGGTTACCCAAGCTGGACATGTAAAAGGGTAGAGGCCAGACAAATTTGGACCACCTCTCCTCGAGGTTAAGGGGTTGGGATAGGGCTCACACCCCTAGACCGAAAAAAACAGCTTGTTACAGAAACATTGACGACAAACTTAAAGCTACTAGACTTGGGAGCGTCGTCGATGGCCTATGCTCCTCATGGGGCCAAAGGGCCTAAGTAAGTAAGTAATGCATTCACGTACAGATGTGTTCGTCGTTGTGGGTGTAGATTCGCTGATTCATGATGTTTTCTCCCCGTGTTTGTGTCACAGTATGGAGACACGACGCACACGCTGGTGGAGCGTGGTAACTACGCAGGCTTGTTCATGCCGGGATACGTGAAACCTCTCGTCGACAACGTTGTGCTCGCAACACTGTGAGTCCCTCCAGCCGCGATACTCATCATCGTAAAGCCTAGCGCAGACTTGCGATTTTTGGTTGCTCGTCGCTGCAACCGCAAGCGATCGGTCGATGTGTCACCGCGTGTGCACACACATGCGATTTCGAAGCAATTCTAGAGCAATTTGGGAACGATTGGGAGTGACGAGTCGCTCAAAATCAAACAAGTTTGATTTCTTGCAACTCGTCGCAAGTGGCCAGAATCGCTACGGGTTGCAGTTGCACATTCCTGCATACGTAGCGATTTCACAGCAATTTTTACAGCGATTCTAGAATCGCTGTCAAGTTGCATGAAAAAATGCTCTTGGTATGCTCCGTATGCTCTTGGGGTGGGGGACAAGGGGGGCAGCTGCCTGATGTTAGAGAGAAATCAAACAAAAGCCTATTATTTGTAAATAACGCTAAAATTTACCACTTGGTGCTGTGCCTCTCCCTTGTATTTTCTCAGCTGAGTCGTAAAATTATGACCCCCCCATCATTTTGCCCAGCAGGAATTTGCTTGACTAAACTTGTTTAACTTGTTGCTCTGCACTAGTCACTTCTCTTAGTTCCGTGGATTGCAGATAGCATGCCGTGCACGGATAGATGTGCTCTTGTTGGCGGACGCAAAAATTTCTATGTGCGCGTTTCGGTTCCGAGATTCAGTATTTGCAGAACGGGAGATCATTTTGAACTTGCGAACAGCTTTTTTACATTGCGAGGTGTTGGTTTACAACCGTGCTGATCTCACAGAGTTGCACGTGATGTCATCGTGTCATCCACCCCTCTGTAGTGATGTGTGGTAACAACGACCGTGCTGTCAACACTGTCATTTGCAGGCCACCGATTGGACTCAACTTTGTTGATCACTGCGTAGGGAACCAGCCTGACAATGAGATGGAATCAGCAACTCAGTGGTGCGTACACAGATATCCGATGCAGACACCTCTGACTCTGTGTGTGTCTGTATTGCTGACTCCTACATATCAGATTTTTTTTTCTCTCACTTTGTCTGAGACTCCTTGTCTTCCACGTGTCGTGCACAGCAGATAGCGCGTCGTGCATAGCAGATAGCGCGTCGTGCACAGCAGATTATCGCGTTCGCTGCATAGCAAGCATAGGCGCGTTCATCGCAGATTAGCGTGTGTCGGGCATAGCAGAACTAGCGCTAGTGGCACAGTCAGATTAGCGCGTCGTTGCCCCACAGCAGATAGCGCGTCGTGCACAGCAGATAGCGCGTCGTGCACAGCAGATAGCCCGGTCAGCTGCACAGCAATAGCGCGTCGGCACAAGAGATAGCGCGTCAGTGCACAGCAGGATAGGTGTCGTGCCACAGCAAGATAGCGCCGTCGTGCCACAGCGATACGTGCCTGCTGCCAGTCGCAGATAGCGCGTCGTGCACAGCAGATAGCGCGTCGTGCACAGCAGATAGCGCGTCGTGCACAGCAGATAGCGTGTCGTGCATAGCACCCGAATACCGCGCTAGTGCACAGCGAGAAGCGTCTGCACACAGATAGCGCGTTCGCTGCCCACAGCCAGATTAGCGCGTCCGGCACAAGCAATAGCGCGTCGTGCCACACAGATTAGCGCCGTCGTTGCACAGCAGATTAGCGCGGCGTGCACAGCAGATAGCGCGTGCGCCGTGACACAGCATGATAGGCCGCCGTCGTCCACAGCCAGATACGCGCGTCGTGCCACAGCACCATAGCGCGTCGTTGCCACAGCCAGATAGCATGTGCGCACAGCAGATAGCGCGTCGAAGAAAAGATTTAGTATCTGCTGCTCTGTTCTTCACAGGTTCAGAGATTCGGTATGTAAGATGTGATCAGATAGGAGATGATGCCAGTACGTTTGCACGTAGGCATGCTACACTCTCAAGTCAGTACTGCCCATCACGTTTTGACGCGACACCTGCCAATATTACATGTCTTCACGCATCACTGACTCTGTGTGAGCTTAACAAAACTCATGTCTGACATACACACCAAAATAATACTTCTCATGTATAGTGGAATATTATCCCACTATATTATCTATAGCTATGTATTATTATTTGTTTGCATAACTATAATGAAGCCTTATATGCTTTCTAGCCCATCTGGCGGTTTCATGGCCAACTTCTCGAAACTTGTCTGGCGCTACACCAGGCGCTCAGGCTTCCTTCCTTCGACTATAACGTGTACAGCTGACGAATTTGTGCGTGCACACTAATAATATGCTCGCCATCTATTGCAGGTACAGAAGAATTGCTGTTCACAGCGTGTCTGTCGGTGATGACAGCCAGAATTCCACACACAGTACTCTCGCTCTGCCCCGCTCCCATTGTCCTCACAAACTACGAGAAACGATCCAAGATGCCAATCAATGACCCTTGCCTGCGTATGAGAAAAGCCAATTAACAGTGTGGTGCGTGCAGTGTAAGGAAGAGCCAGAACAGGTGGGTGCCTGCGGTATTGAGAAAAGCCCAGAATTACAGGTGGGTGCGCTGCAGTGCTAACGAAGAGCAGATTACAGGTGGGTGCCTGCCGTATGAGGAAAAGCCAGATTACAGGTGGTGCGTGCAGCTGTAAGGAAGAGCCAGATACAGGTGGTGCGTCGTACGTGTGAGATAAGAGCCAGATACAGGGGTGAGGGGTGTGTGCAATGTCTAGGAAGAGCCAGCATCCAGGTGAGGTGTGTGCTCTGTAAGAAGACGCAGATACAGGTAGATGGGAGTTTGCAAAGGTAAACACCAAAAGACATTCCCCGAAACCAAATCAGTGGACACATACATGCCATTCAGTCAAGTGGAAACTATTGTAGCACCCCGATATTTTACGTGTATTCTGTATACATATGACGATGATTATTATAAAACAAGTATATTATTATATATTTTGCCATTATATATCTAATTGACAGGAGGTTTGTTGACTACTACGTGTTGACGCCATCGTGTCCGACCCCCATCCAATATGCCCCACGTCACACAGTGTGCGTACTTGACATCCAAACACAAATAGACATCATCAGCTCCGACAACACACTCCGCATCGCTTAACTATAGACATGTATGGCCGCTTACATGTAGATTTAATATAACGCTCGTTAATTTCGCTTATGGATTGCCATTTATTGTTTTTTTTCACTGCTAGTTTGTTGTGATTTGTAGTTTTCTAGTTAGGCCTTGTGCGTGAAGAGACATACTTTGATAGTCTTTGTGGCATCCACAATTCATTGCCATTTAGCTCTACCATGATCCAGCACAAACATTACTCCATCCAAATTAATACAGGTAGCAAAGCTAGTCATTGTATTCTATCAGTCGCATCCTGTGGCTGCCTGTACAGTCTGAGGTTCAAGGCGTGTACAGGGGAGGGGGCGTCCAGAGCGGTCCAGACCCCCCCACCCCATGCTCCGTGCAGAACACACGCATCTAGGAGTCTAACACTTCACCACAATTTTTCCTAGAAAAAATTTCAGATCAAAATTTTTTAGATTAAAATTTCCCCAGACCCTGAGAGACGTGCTCGCAACTTTTGGGTTTGCGGTTAGACCCACCCCTGGTACACAATCCTTACACGCCCCTTGGAGGTTTGATTATCACGTGTTCCTAACAGCATCACCAAAACCTAAAGAAAGCGTGGCATCACTTCCTTGAGAGTTCCTGACACGTATACAATTGCCTTTGAAGAGAGCAGCTGAAACAGAGCCAAGATCCACTGTAACCGAAGACTTGACGTAGTAAAGTAGATTGTTTCACTCCGTCCTTCGTTGGGCTGACTCTCAAACGCATCAGCACAATCACGGTCTCAGTCTCGGACTCTGTCGTTAGATTATCAGAATCATCTTTGATGAAATTGTGTGATACTCCATCCTTTCGTAAAGCCTTCTCTTCTATTCCTTTATATAAATAGAATCAAAATCCTTCCCGACATTCATTGTGTTCGGGACATAGCAGATTTAAAGTTTGTGGTAAAGCCTACGAAGCAACGAATATATTGTCTTGGTGCTGCGCCAACTTGGCCATTGCCAGCCTGAATTAACGTTAATCACCTGCGTTAGTATTTGTTAAAATTGTGAAAAGTTAATTTCGACCTCTGACCTCTCACAGCTTCAGAAGTTGAACATCCTCATCGACTTCGATGACAATGCTACCTCCGCCAGCTTTCACCAAGCCGATGCAGGATCGCCCCGACCTGTGTCTAGAGTCATACCAGCGACACAACCACCAGTACGCTGCGACGAAGCTGGGTGGGTGGTAAAGCAGAGGCTACTCAATTGTTTATTTTATAGTATTAAATTATTTGTGCGTTATTTTTCACCGTGTTTTAGTATGTTTTTCTGTGTAATTACCCTTAACATGTGCATGTAAATATTTTTTGCCTTCAATGTGCACAAAATAAGTCAGTAATGTCAATATTGTAGTATATCAATTATATATTGTAGTACAGTCAGTATAAGTCAATGTAATATTCAATTAAAATAGATGATATAAATTATCTCACCTATCTGTCTACCTGCTGTTTTGTCTCTTTGTCTGTGCTTTCGCCTGTCTGTCTGTCTATCCCGCGACCTGTCTTTCTTATCTATCTATCTATGTGTCTACTCTATCTATCTATCTATCTATCTATCTATCTATCTATCTATCATCTATCTATCTACTATCTTCATCTATTTATTTATCTATTTATATGTCTGTCTGCCTGTCTATCTATCTATCTACCTATCTATTTATTTATCTATCTGTCTGCCTGCCTGCCTGTCTATCTATCTATCTATCTATCTATATATATATATATATATTTATTTATTTATTTATTTATCTACCTATCTATCTATCTATCTATCTATCTATCTATCGATGTGTCTGCATGCATGCTTTTCAGAAGTATATATTGCGAATTGTTTCACTGCACGCAGGGCTTTGGAGCAGGCAACTTCAAATCACTATTTGAGGCCATCGAATTGGAGCAGGAAGCAAGAGGAAACCTGTAGGAAGAGCGAAGAGACCTGTTCCAAGAGAAGTTATACTGCAGAGAACAACGACAAAGAGACTTGCAGGAAGAGGGGAAGGAGAATGCATGGTTGGATCGGGCACACCAAGGAAACTTGTAGACGTACTTAAGGAAGGAAAACATGCAGACGGCATGAGTCAGTGCTAGAAGCTGTGCAGATGTCATGTGGACTATGACATGTCAGATTAGAATGCTACAGAGAACGATTGGAAGCTGTTAAAGATTTCGACGACCTGTACCAGGATAGTACTGGCATTGCACTGACATCTTTATGCTTCCATCTGATGTGTAGGCCTACACTTCAGTATATATGATATAAATACTGTAGTTACTTTGTAATTATCCCAAGCCCAGTGATGTCTCAATTAATGTTTTCATCACAATACATGCTAGTGTCAGTATTTAATTTTATAGTTGCTTTAGGATGTAGTGATATCACAGTGACTGCATAAGTCTGCATTGTACTATCTGTCAGCACAATTAAAGCTGTGCTGTATTAACAGAAAAGAATTTAGACTTACCAGGTGTAGGTTTGTATATACAGTTTTATTCCAGCATTGCATGTTCAGGTTAGTGTTTGGGTGATACTGTGTAGTAGTTACACATTATGATGCGTCAACTTAATCATTAGCCCTGGTAGTTTCAATCATTGTAATAATGTTTACTATCATTACAAAATATTATTCCAATATTCAATGAAAATTTGCTCAATACTTTATAATACACTAATCCAAATAATACATGAAATAGTGCCAATATATGTCTAGTAAAAGTTGGGATCTTCTCTTGTTTGAACGTGCGTCAACGTTTTGTACGTCCAATGTTTTGTGTGTCAGTGTTTTAACGTCTAACCTAAAGCTCTAGAGTCTAGACATATCACATGGAATATCACAGCAAGCGGTATTTATTAACCAGCATGTACAACAAACGCAATAAACGTCACAGAATTTAATACATCGCATTCCGTGCTTTATTGAATATTGTAAGCACAGCTACCGGCATTTCGCTCAATACACTATGACGTCTGTCAGATGAAACCTCTGTCTGAGCTATATCACATTTACATAATTTATATCATCGTGACATATATAGTAATACGGACACCTTTATTTATTAGAAGAAAAAACATTAACATATTTATTTATTTACACATTGGAAAGGATAACAGCTGGTTAAATTGAAAGTTTACCAATCACCTTATGGCTTATATTGCTATTTGTAGGGCGGATAAGCACATGGATTGTGCACTTTTGGTTAGAATTGTGAAACTGCACACGCGGTCCTGAACATCCTGAAGCCCAATTAAACAGCGCCACCTGGTGGCGTACGGCGCCCCTGCGAGTTACCCGGTATAGCGTTATACCACTATTAGAGTTTTGGCTATAGTTTCAATAATACTCATCCTCAGTCTTTAGTCAAAAAATAGCTCAAATGATTTGCTGGTATATCTATATACTAAGACTATAGCAGAAATTTACTGAGTGTAGTTATTTTTAAAGGATTTGTGTCGAGCTTTTACTGTCAAAATAACCCAGTCACACTTGAATGTCATATATATAATATATATATACATTATGTACTACGTGCGCCCGAGTGTGTGCGTGTATATATAGTACGTTTGCACGTAGGCATGTACACTCTCAATCAGTACTGCATCAGTTTTGTACGCCACACCTGCAAATTACATGTGTTCACGGCATAGTGACACTGTGTTGTAGCTTTAACCAAAACTCATGTCTGAAATACACACAAAATAATACTTCTCATGTATAGTGGAATATTATCCACTATATTATCTATAGTAGAATGATTTGTTTGTATGAATATAATGAAGCCTTTATGCTTTCTAGCCACCTGGGGTGGTTTCCATGGCAACTTCTCGAAACTTGTCTGGGCTACAGCCAGGCGTCAGGCGTTCCTTCCTTCGACTATAACGTGTACAGCTTGACAATTTGTGGTGCGCACTAATAATACGCTGGCGCCATCTATTTGCAGGTACCAGAAGAACTTGCTGTTCCACAGATTCTGGTCGGTGGATGACAGCCAGATTCACACACAGTACTCTGCTCTGCGCTCCATTGTCGTCACAAACTACGAGGAAACGATCAAGATGCCAATCAATGAGCCTGCCTGCGGTATGAGGAAAAGCCAGATACAGGTGGGTGCGTGCAGTGTAAGGAAGAGCCAGATACAGGTGGGTGCCTGCGGTATGAGGAAAAGCCAGATACAGGTGGGTGCGTGCAGTGTAAGGAAGAGCCAGATACAGGTGG